TGGATCATATAACTCAGTACTATTTAGAAAATCCTGATTAATATGTCCACCAATGACTAATACTTTTCCATTCGCCAATACGGATGCTGTATGTTCAGCTCGTGCATTATTCATGCTACCCATGATTGTCCAAATTTCTGTTGATGGATCGTATAATTCAGTACTATTTAGAAAACCCTGATTATTAAGTCCACCAGTAACTAACACTTTTCCATTTGTTAATACAGATGCTGTGTGCTCAGCACGTGCATTATTCATGTTACCAGTGATTGTCCAAGTTTCTGTTGATGGATCGTATAATTCAGTACTATTTAGAAAATCCAGATTACTAAGTCCACCAGTAACTAATACTTTTCCATTCGCCAATACGGATGCTGTATGTGTTCGTCGTGCATGATTCAGATTACCAGTTTTAGACCAATCTAGATGAAAACATTTGAATGGTTTTATCCTGAAAGAATGTTTATAATGAAATCCTCACGATCCTCTAGCCATGAACGAATATTTTTAGACTTTGCAAAATGAAAATCGTTTAGTAGTCGTAATACAAAGTTTTAAGAATTTCTGGGACCGTAGGCAGTAGTGGGCTGCACGGGTACGACTTTTTGCACTCCGACCTGAACTGACTCTTTTTTTCCTACCCGGATTCGATCCTCTTATACTCGGCACCGAGCTGGATTCGGAGCTGACCAACATCCAGCACCTACTCCCAAAGCCATAGTACAGCTTCCAAAGTTTTACCTTATATAATAAAGTATACCATTTAGTTTCTTTCAAAAACAACAACACAAAGAAAAGAGAGTTTATGTGAAGTTTCACAAAAAGAGAAGTGAATCAGGATTTATTTGATTTCTTTGTGCTTCTAAAATAGACAGATGGTTTTCCTTCCAGAAAGCTTTTTTTTCTCTCAATATATTCAGTTACTTCATCATATGGTACCTCAGCACTTGTGAATAAGTTTTTATTAAAAAACGTATGCTCTTAGTGAAAGTGCCATTGATTTTCACTCCTCTGATCTATTGTCAAGTGCAATTAATGCTCTAATTCTGCATCTGACCTGGCCTTTTTTTATACCCAACTGCAGGACAGTAGTTGGAAGAAATCGCTTATGAAACGATACAACAGAAGGCTTCGCATTTCTGATAAAGAATCATGTACGTGGATCACAAGTAAATTAAGTTTGAATTTTCTACTTGTCGTTACATTATTTACAAGAGCTAATGCACTTTCAACTATATGTATGCAGCTACTGTTGATTATAATCGTCATAATCGAACTCCTCAGGTAAAGGAAGTACAAAGAGAAACGATCGCCAACGATGTATAATCTTCGAAAAATTCCGGTGATCAAATCCAAAAACAGTTCTCGCATCTATTTCGGCTTATTTCACACCAATTTCTGCAGTCGGAAACAGTTTTCAGACACGATTATTCTTTCCGGGATCGTTCTAGACTAAGAAATACAGTGATTTATCACAACCAAAGGGTAGAGACTATATTCTATCGTATTCGAAGCTCGGATCCGACCTTTTCGAGCTCGGATATGGCTCCATGATAGATATTTTCCAGTCATATGATCTCGCTAGTCTCTAATTTAAAAAAATGTAAGGTTATTCTATCAATGAGACACGATTTCTTTACTGATTCATTCCGGTTCACATGTGTAAAGAATCAAAGCAAATATTTTTATGATGGATTAAAATCGTTTGACTTTAATCCGTTACGAATCGACTATAATAAAGCAAAAAATCAAAGTTACCATTGTTTGAACGATTATTTCGATTAAATATGACTATGATATTAAAAGAAAGAAACATAATTTAAGTTACTCCACTATCAGCCTCAATCACATAAATCATGAAAATCTTTGAAAACCAACCATCATCTGCCGAAGTCTCTGAAGAGGGTGCAGAATGTGGGTGTGAATAATTAGAATAGTCACATCCATATCCACACCAGAAGCATATTTCCTTTACAATGATTTCTTTTTTCAAATGAACCCAATATATTTTGGTACAGAAATTTTTATTAGAGTAAACCCATGCGAAGTGTACCATATTTCTGGATAAAAGTCTTTTTTCGATTTTAACCATCCAGTAAGACAGAATGATATCGAAAATATTTTGTTTGCAGCAATAAAATATTTTGATACAAAACGTATGGAAATCCAGCTCATTCTTTAGGAGCAACTCGACTTTTACTTATAGAAGAATTTGCTAGACCTCCAAACTCTCAATATCAACATTATTAATCACCATGCAGACTTTTTTGGACCACCTACTCTCTTACTAGATGATCGAAGTCAAGAAAAAATTTCGCTCAGAAACATAATACAAAACGAATAGGATAAGGTATGAAATAGTGACGGTGAATAATTGCTTCACTGTCACCGGTTCATACCGATAAGAAATGATTATAATTGGAACGATACGGACAGCATGGTTACCGAGATAGATTGGTTATGATCACTGTTATATATCTACATGAGATCGCTCTGTTTTCAGAAAGTGGCATATTTCCAATGGGTTTACTCGCTAATCAAAGTTAAACAGCTAAATAGAGTGTTTTTGAGGTTTCTACTGTCAACAATGTTTTTTTTCGACACATTTGTTCCGTTGATTACATTCTCACACTAATTAACGTAGTTGAAAGATTACAGAACACTATATATGGACGAGAAATACAGTCAGTTTAAGCAATTACTATACTTTATTATATTGCTCTGATTGAAATCCATACCATTTTTTCTATCATACGACTTTTTTTGAGTAATTTTTATCACTCAAGACAGGTATAAAGCGTGATAAAAAGTAAAAAAATGATAACAACATCGGGCAGGATCAACCCAGCAAAATAATTGGCCGACGTGGCCCAGCACTTTTTTGAACTGGCCCGCCTTGCCAGAAAGAGAAATTTGATTCGGCCGGATCGGGCCAGGCGACCCATCTCGAGGCTTGGAACACATTCCTGTATCTTGCTTGCTGCTGATAATGAAAAAATTCACAAATATCTAACTATCTAAATTAAACTCATTCTTTTCTTTCGTGAAAAACTGAGATCCAAAATGATTATCTGAACAAATGTAATCGATTTTGTGAAATTGTGTCATGTATTTTAGGTATGATTGACAAGCAAGGAAAAGAAAACTTCTTCCACATCATATGATCTCAGGAACTAGTTGGATACAAATAGATATTTTGTTTTCCAATAAGAAGTCATGCGTGAGTAAAAAAAGAAATTTAATCAGTATGAAAACATCAATCGATGCTTCATGATGGGACGAATTGAGTAAAGTTTTTTCTTTTTAATTGCAAGATTAAGCGTTTTTCATCTAGAAACCATCTATTTTTCTTTGACTAAACACTATTTTACGTAAAAATGGCAGAATTAGGAAAAATTTACTAGTACGAGGAAACGAGAAACACCATATTTTGTCAACGAAAAATTCATCCTGCATGTATTCTTGAAGTTCTCCTAAGCGATCAATCAATAAATTAATTATTTAGTAGTTTTATATCAATCGATGGTGAATGTATATTCACTTCCAGAAACTAAATAGTAGCGCTCTTTGGTGCTAGTAGCCAAATCTATGAATGAACTAGTCAAAAAACATTCTTTCCGTGAATTTAGGACACCGGAATTTAAGATTATTTTAATTGAGATACGGTAGATCTTGAAGTATCTTTAGAATTTGATGCATTTCTATAGAATCTCAATTCAACGATGCTGAGTCTTGGGGACTCTTTAAGATTCAGTAGAAATGTTATAAAATTTTAAAGATTTACTAGATCCCCCATCTCACTTTGAAAAACGAAATAGACCTCGATAGTGACGAAAATTCATCAATATGAACATTACCATTCATTCATTTCTTTTTATGATAAAGAGTAAATCATTCATGATTAAATGATTGATCCTTTTTATAAAATTTTTAGTCAGATACACAGATTATTGAATGCAAAGCAACGAAATATATCTGATTCAACAGTAGCATTTAGGAAGGTTAAGAATTTACCGGACTGTTGAGTAGTGGTCGTCATTGCTGTTGACCTTGATGTTGCTGTACTGATAGTAGTGGTGATAGTGGTTTCCGACTTCTCCAGTGTAAAAATATAGAATTTTAAAACCAGAGCGAGAGCGACTACAAGAGTTGTTAAAACGATGAAAGATATGGCACTGATCTTAACCCACCGGTGACGCCACCATTTGAATGGACTATTATTTGCAGTAACATCTTCAAAGTACAACTGACTGTAACGCATACTGTGTTCCTCAAAAAGCTGAAACTGGGAACAAAATAACGAACTGTTGTTCGAACCTACTTTATATTTGTGTATCACTCACAAAAGTAATAAAAGATAAGTAATATTATCTCCAGTACGATAAATATTGTTATGCTCTGTTCTTTATATAATACATTTTACAGGTGAGCATCATAACGGCAAAATTGTGTTTGGCTCGCAAGTTACATCATGGGTGTGAGTAAGGAGAAGAAAGACACACGCCCGTACCCTCAAATTCTAATTTACTTTCATTTATTATTTTTGATCAGAATACAATGTAGGATAGTTGGATCATTTTGGCAATTACTACATATCTTTTTTCTTTAATTATCTATTTAATACTCTTTTCTCCGTCCTCGAAATTGTATCATTTTTCGCTTTTTAATCAATGTTAAATACCATACATAAAAATCAAAGTCGGTCATTTATTTTAGTCTATTGATTTATTTTCTCGACTAAACTGATGTTCTCTATCTTTTAAAATAAATTTTTATAAAATGAGCCGAGATGTTAAAGACTACACGATTGTGATATGATTTTTGTTGGACGTTTAACAAGTCATAAACATTTTGATAAATTGACAAAAACAGTTCAAGATAAAGAAGAATCAAATGAAGAAATAGAATTCTTTTTAAAATATTAAATTGACACATAAGTTCTGAGCGTTTTTTTATGCTGTATACAAGTTTGAGACTATATCTCGTGATTGGAAAGTGATAGAGGTCTGAAAGTTTTAATGTAGATAAATCTCTATGACTCCTATCTATACTAAAAATTTCAGATCTCTATCACTTTTCAATCACAAGATATAAAGTCTCAAACTTGTCTACAGCACAAAAAAACCGCTCAGAACTTATACACCAATGTAATATATAACTTTGGGCAAAAAAAAGCAGCTATTGAACAATTCGCTGATGATCGTAAATATCGTAGTGTATACGAAGACTATTTCAATCCTGCTGTCTTTGATATTGCCAAAAGAAAAGCATCATTTCAACAATTAACACATTCGAGACGATGTGGCCCGCCGATGGGCCACACTATGGAATCACCAAAAAACCCATTTATCGCAGAAAAAAATTGAATATCTCTGCCACACTTTGATCAATGGGGCTGATTCTTTTACCACGGATAAAGGAATGTTGATAGCTCATATTCATAAGAGAAACGTTGGTAAAAAGTGTTTTGAAGTATTACAAC